TTTTTTTTTTGGTTTCAGGGCAAGAACTTGTCCCTTTTCCTCAGCGTTAGTTTGTTAACTTTCTGGGGGACTTCCCTTTTGGGCGCCCGTTTATACTGGATGGGAAACAAACCACCGAGCTTTTCCAACTCTGACAACCCAGCCGCCGATTCGGACAGCCTCCTGGCTCGCACACTCACCTTCTTCTACCTGCCCACCAAGAACCTCTGGCTGTTGCTCTGCCCAGATACCCTCAGCTTTGATTGGTCTATGGATGCTGTGCCTCTGCTCAAAACAGTTTGTGACTGGAGAAACCTACACACCGTGGCCTTCTATATCGGACTCCTCCTCCTCGCCTACTATGGTTTGAAGAGCCCAGGCGTGGAAAGGGAAAGCAGTGAGAAATTTGTAACTAATGGCAAGCAGAATGCAAACGGACATAGCTGCCATTCCGATGTGGAGTACCGGAACTCAGAGACGAAGCCCAGCTTCACCTCCAAAGTGGAGAATGGCATTAAAAATACTGTATCCCAGAGAACACAACTTCCTTCTACCGAGAACATTGTTGTCCTGTCTTTATCTTTGTTAATAATACCCTTTGTTCCTGCCACGAACCTGTTTTTCTATGTTGGCTTTGTAATTGCAGAGCGAGTATTATATATTCCTAGTATGGGCTTCTGCCTCCTCATTACAGTGGGTGCCAGAGCCCTTTATGTCAAAGTCCAAAAGCGGTTTCTCAAGAGCTTGATTTTTTATGCTACAGCTACGTTAATTGTTTTCTATGGACTCAAGACTGCAATCAGGAATGGAGACTGGCAGAATGAGGAAATGCTGTATAGGTCAGGGATAAAAGTAAACCCAGCTAAAGGTAATCATTTATTTTATGCTTTTGCCTAGACAGTTTACTTTTCCTGCCTTTGTCTATCTTTGCTTTTTACCTTAAAATACAGTATTAAGGAAGAAGAGGTCCTTTTTTGAAATACCCATTATCTTTTTTTTTTTTTTTAAGATGAGCAGTACAATTTAGAGATATCAGCATGTTTGGAATAGGGAAGTACTATTTTCCTATGTACTTGGCTGCCTTTGTCGAAGGAATTAGAGCTGTTCTGAAAAAATATTGATTATCACAAGAGTTTAGAAAAACGTTTGGTTTTTCACATTTTAAAATACTGATAAGGAGATCATCTCTTTCATCATGTAATAAAAGTCAAGGTATCCCACTTAAGTACACTTTAGTTCTTCTGTTTTCTAAGCATCACCCGAGGAAATGCCACAAGACTTAAACGCTGACATCTTTAACAGATTTGGAGGTAAGGCTACCTCTGAATGTTGGAATTGTATCTCTAGGTGTCAGTGTGGACGCATGTAAGTGTGAGTCACCCTGAGCTTTGCCGAGGCTAAATCATCAGGTGTTGCCAAGTAGTTAGCATATTCGTATTTAAGAGCTCTTAAGTCACTTGGGGAAATAACATTTCCACTGTGCAATGAGAAGATGGATCATACTTTTTATTATTGTTTTTGATTTAGAAAGTTATTGCAGCAAATCTCAGAATCTATAGCCAGAGCAGAAAGTAGTCTCCTTTAAAGCATAAATGAATAGTTCAAAGCTGTTACAGTGGATTTCTCTGATTTAGGCAGTGAAACGGTTGTGGACGCTAGAGAGCAACTGAATGAAAAAAAGTTTACATTTTAATTGCACAAATACATAACAGCAAATAGTGCCAAGTAGTCTTGTTCTTCATAAGCATTTTTTTTTTTAGTTATCCTTTAAACTACGTTTGCCTGCATAGCATTTAAATTGGTCTTTTCCTAATTTTTCCAATGCAGTTGTCTACCTGTATTCAAATACTGAAAGTATGAAACTGTTGCAGTGGCATGGAATGGCCTGCTGATGAATGCCAGGTATATATCCAAAGATCTAGACACCCCAGAAGTAACTGTGGCATTCTTATCTGATTACCAATTAAATCAGGAATTCAGTGAGCAACTGCACATTTCTTTAACCAAGGAACTAATTTTTGCTAGTTGTAATGCTTGCTAGATTGCAGGGATTTTAATAGGACTAGAAGCATTAAAATTGCGATTCTCATGAAAAAAATCTTCACCATGTGGCTTCTGTAGGTAGTGAGTGCTACAGTTTATTAAATGCCTGAACCTAAATCTTGCTGTAAAATTGTTGCAATCAGTTCTCACAGAATGCATTTCAGTTAATTTTTCTTCACCGGCAGATACAAGTATATAAAACAAGGCTATGTTGCCAGTTTATTTTCCTGCTGTTTAAAACAGATAGAGTAAGGAATTCAAAGGAGAAAAAAACCCTAGCACATTATTTGTATCACATGGGTATTCTGAGGATTTATTACATTTATTGGTTGAGTTTTAAGCTACTGTAACAAAGAAAGAAAGAGCCATGATAACAGTGGCTTAAATAAGATAGCTTTATTCTTTCATGTAACAGTCTAAGTATGTGTAGCCCAGAGCTGATAAGATGGCGCCATGGCTTTTCAGGATCCAGGCTCCTTCTTTTTTGTTCCCTTGCCATCTCAGTAGTGTCACCCTGCCCATATGGTCCAAAACGGCTCATTATCACATCAGCACTTCAACTAACAGAAAGAGGGAGAGAAAGGGCAAATGGTGGGTATACCCGTTCTCTTTAAGTGCATATCACAGAAATTGCACACCCCACATTTGCTCACAGACGATTGGCCACACCTAGCTTTCAAAGACGACTGGAAAATGGTATCTTTACTCTGGGAAGCCAAGTACCCAGCCAGATTTTATTACTCTGGGAGAAGGGAAGGGCAGGTACTAAGAGGCTACAGTGTTAAGTAACAGTCTCTATCCCGGAGAAGGCAAAAGCATTTTGTAAACTCCTAGATATTTTTCAGTGTTATCTGCTATTACTGTTGACAGGAATGATTATGATTTTGATGAAGTTATTTTGGTGATGAGGTTAAAATGTTTGACCATTTGTTCATTTATTCATTCACTTGGTAAAAGAATGATCCAGCGTTTCCTTGGTTTGTAATATATTTCTATGTCTTCATTCTAACAAAAAGTGCTATAGTATTAGGCGCTCCAAATATTAGCTAAATGAATACACAACTGACTGGTATTATAAGTCTTTTGAGACATCAGAAATTGAATTTCTGAACCACTGTACTCCAGCCAACTGCTTGACCTGAAGCCTTTACCATCTCAGTGGATGGCAACTGTGTTTTCCCAGCAGCTCTGGTCAGCGCTGTGGAGTCATCCATACCTCCTCTTTTTCTTTCACGCCCCACATCCATTTCATCAGCATATCCTCTCTGCTCTCTCTTCAAAAATACATCGAGAAGTTGAGCGCTTTTTGCTACCTTCACTGTTATCACCATGGCCCAAATCAGCTTCCTCTTTTATTGGATTATTAGTGAAAGCCTGTGACCTGAACTCCCTTTTTCTATTTTCTTGTCTTTTAGCATGCCTTGTAGTGTTTTGTTGAAAGTGACATGATATATTGGGTAATAGGAACTGAGATAAACAGGCTCAGTGTGAGGTTTAATGTTAGTCTGGCAAGCAGTGGGGCTGTGTTTAATGTTTGCTGTAGTTATAGGTGACAGAGGCGTCAAATTTTCCTGATGTCCTTGTTCTTCTCCCTTCTGTTGTCGTTGGGCTTCTCTTGAGAACTGAGAGCCTGTGTTTTGCATCTCTTTCCACTGTAATCCCCTGTATTTACCCTGGAGCCATGTTGGTATGTTGGTAAAATGTGTGTGGGGGGCAAGTGTTCTATTACTTTATGATTAAACCCTAGTGTTCCTGGGCTGTGGCCTTCCTGAATATCCATTAGTTTTTCCTGACTCCCCTTCCAGTTGATACAGGAAGGCTGGATGGTCTGGAGTGAGGGGAATGCCCTTCCCCACTTCCCCTGGAGAGTAGACCTTTGTTATGGAGAATGATAAGGGCATACAGTAGTCCTCCCTTATTTGGGGCCTTGCTTTCCCCACTTTCAGCCACCTGTGGTCACCCTTGGTCTGAAAATGTTATATGGAAAACTCCAGAAATGAACCATTCATAAGTTTTAAATTGCGTGCCATTCTGAGCAGTGTGATGATGTCTCGGGCCATCTGCTCCATCCTGCCTGAGATGTGAATCATCCTTTTGTCCAGTGTATCCACACTGTATAGCAAGTCTTTGAATGACGGCATTTGGTTATAACGTTGATGGAGGAAAAAAAATCAATTTCCAGCCAGGGCCACTGCCTGCATGGAATTTGCATGTTCTCCCTACATCTGTGTGGGTTTTCCCACAGTTTCCTCCTACATCCCGAAGACATGCATGTTAGATTCATTGGTGTGTCCCAGCGTGAGTGTGGGTGTATGTGAGTGCACCCTGCAGTAGACAGAAGGGCATTCTGTCCTGGGTGGGTTCCCACCTTTTGCACTGAACAGCTGGGAGAGGCTCCGGCCACCCACCACCCTGAACTTATTATAAGCAGGTTGGAAACACAGTCTCTTACTTGTTTTTATCAATCTTCCTTAAATGTATATATAGTTCACATTTTTTAAGGGTTCAATATTAGAAGTGTTTTGGGTCTTTATTGAGAAGTTTGGTGAGGTTTTTGTGACCAGAAATATTCTGTAAGCGCTTAACTCTAGTTGATATCATTAGCGTATGGTAAATTGGTATCCTTATATGTCATATTGCCTAATCTCTCAGTTTCCAAGAACCTATGGAGGATGCTAAGTGAGGATTGAAGGTATACCCGACCAGCCCCTTAGTCGCTTAGTAGCTATCTTAGTTATGGGATCTGTTATGAGAGAGAGAGAGAGAGAGAGAGAGAGAGAGAGAGAGAGAGAGAGAGAGAGAGAGAGAGAGAGAGAGAGAGAGAGAGGGAGAGAGAGATGGCACTCACATAACTTTATTACAATATATTATAATTGTTCTATTATTAGTTATTGTTGTTAATCTCTTACTGTGCCTACTTTATAAATTAAACTTTATCATAGGTATAGTATATATGTATAGATTAAAAAAAACATACATGTAGTCATGTACCACATAATGACATTTCTGTCAATGACAGAATGCATGCATGACAGTGATCTCAAAAGATAATAATGGAGTGGAAAAATTCCTATTGCCTAGTGAGATAGTAGCTGTCATTAAGTCCTAATACGACACATTACTCACATGTTTGTGGTGATGCAGGAGGTAATCAAACCTCCTGCACTGCCAGCCGTATAAAAGTACTGGTAGGTTTCTGTAAGTGCACACTCGCTGACATTCACACAGAAAGAAATTGCCTAGCGAAGCATTTCTGAGTGTATCCTATCTTAAAGTGAAATATGCCTGTAGAGGGTTTGGTCCTACCTGTGGTTTCAGGCATGCACTGTGGCTCTTGGACTATCCCTGAGATAGGGGGGGACCCCTGTGTTTCTCCCAGAGCCAGGAGAGCACCTTTCTTTGCTTTTCTCAGTGAGAACCTGGTAGGGGCCATGGAGGCAAAACCCACAAAAGTGTAGAGGCCCCCAAGCTTGCTGGGGTCCCCGTGAGTTTCTCACTGCCCAGCTAGTCCACATTCAGCCTCCAGCAGCTCCGTAAAATGACCAGTTAATCGTTCCTGTCAATTTCTGCCTCTTCTGCTCCAGGTGTTCACGTCTCTGCCATGACTCGGGATTTGCCTGTCTCTACAGATTTTAGGGGGATGGTTTGCCCTGTGATCTCAGTTCACTGATGGTTCAAGAAAAGTCACTGTTTTTTTTCTTTGTTTAGCTTTTCCTCATTGTAAGGATGTGAGTCACGATTTCCAAAATCTTTATATGTCTGAGCTGAACTTCTACTTCCGTTTTTTCCATCCTTAGAGTCTACATTTAACCAGCAGCCCTAATG